TGCCTGCCTGCCCTTGTACCCTTGTTCCTGCCTGCTCGCCAGCTTTCCTTAACACATCTGAGCAGGCCCACAAATGTCCTCTGTTTTATTTGCCGGTGCGCATGTGAATCTCCGACCACCTGCCCTTTCGCCCTCTCTCCTTGTCGCTGCCACATGTGCTTGCCTGCTCCCTTGCCCTCTCTTTCACGCACCCACTTGCTCCTTTCTTGCACATGTGCTCTCCCTCCTTTGCCTAAGTGTGCCCCACCTGCTTTTTTTTTGCATGCCTGCTCTCTCTCATGGGTGTCACCATGCTTGCTCTCTCAAACACCCATTCTAGCTCTCTTACACACATGTTGTCATATGCATGTGCACATATTACTGCCCTCTTTCACATGCATGTGCAAGAATCTGACCACGTGCATGCTCATGCTATTTTGCATACTCCCATTGTTGAGACCCTGTTTCCCCCAAAATAATTTTTGCTTCAGAAAATGTATTAGGGCTTATTTTCAGGGGATTTTTTTTTCATGTAGAACAATCTACCTTTATTCAAATACAGTCATGTCATCTTCTTCCGGTTGCTGCACAAGGGTGGAGGGTGGGATTTCATTTAACTGGGGCTTATTTGGGGGGTAGGGCTTAGATTACGAGCATCTTGAAAAATCATACTGCGGCTTATTTTCAGGTTAGGTCTTATTTTCGGGGAAAGAGGATACCTCCTTGCTCTGCCTACTGCTGCTCTTCTTCCTCCTTAGTTCCCAACTTCATCCAATCTCTTCTTCACCAAAAAAAAGAAAGAAAAGAAAAATGAAAAAAAAAAAGAATGAGATATAACAGTAAAAGATGAACTGCTCATGTGAATTTTCTTCCCCTTTCAGTGGTCAGGCCACCCCTGATCCCATAAAGAGAAGGTATTTACAGTATTCTCAACTGCTGGATAGCTCAGTGGTTAGGGTTGGGAGTTCGATTCCTGTCGTGCTTTCTTGACATGGGCTCGGCTTGATGACCCAAAGGGTCCCCTTCCAGCTTTGCAGTTCTAAGATGATCATTCTGTTGAAAAAGTACTATACTATATACAGTATCATCATCATCATCATCATCTTAGAATTGCAGAGCCTATGGATCATCAAGTCCAGCCCCTATTAAGGAGGCACAGTGGGGAATTGAACCCCCAACCAGACCTAAACCACTGAGCTCTCCAATACAACCCACAAAGTAACTGTGCTCCAACTCATTCCTTCGGTAATTAGTTCCGAAAGTAACTCACTGTTAAAAAAATGAGTTCCTTCCTCGCATCGAGTCATGATATTCCCAGAGCAGAGGCTGACTTAAAGTGTTTTATGACTGAACGCTGGCTCTAAGGGCCTGGGAAGAGATGAGGCGGGAGTGAAACAGATTGAATGACAGAGCGTGTCCAACAACAACAGCTTAGCAATGAGATTCTAAGACATGCTGGCTCATTTTTCTTCCGCTAATTAGTCCCCTAATTACTTGGCTGTTTTGCTTAATTAAAACCAGAGAGAGACAGGAAGGGGGGATTTATTAGGGGTTCCACTCCTTACTCCCAATCAGTGCTAATTAATATCATCTCCAACGGCACGCTTAATGAGCTGCTAATTAGCCATGGAGGGAGAAAGATTTGTTCATTCATCCTCCCCTACTCACCTGCTTAGCTTGTTACCCCCACAAAGGATACCAGGCTGCTGATGTCTCCCCCAAAGCCAGGAAAACTTACTTTCTTTTTGGACCACTACTCATAGAATCCTGTAGCCAGTTCTCTCCATTGGTGTTCTGGGAGTTGTAATATAAAAATAAATGATCAGAATCTCCCCATGTTCCATGTTTTGTAAGCTCTCGCAATGCCCCCAGACTCCTAACAAACTAAACTTTCCCAATTCAGCCTTGACTTTCTGTTTATACAAGGCAAGTGGATTTCCCATAAATCACGTGGGCTGAGTTCCCAGCATGAGGGAACTGGGCAGAAGAAGAACCTTCAAACCATCTAAGGGCCAAGATCCAGTTCAGTTGTGGAACCTGCATGCTGACCTAGGGAGCAAGCTTTGAGCAGAGCAGGCTGCATTTTTCCCTGTTGAAACCAGCAAGAGGTCTTGTTGTAGGTTATACCGGCCATATGTTTTGTGTGGATTGCTGCCTGTTCCTTCAGATGGATGAAGAACTGAGCCTCAGTCTATGGAAGCGTGTCCCAAATAAAACATTGTCGTCTTCAATAGCCCCCAGGACTCGGAAAGTTTTTTTCCTGCCACCATCTCACACGGATTCATTCCCTGCCTGCCGGAATTCATTTTCAAGGCAGTATTTCTCTCTGTGTGTTTTAATATTACCTGTCTTAAAAGAAATCAGGTAGATGACACTGCTCTCTCATGGCCCATTTAAGGTACAGGTTCTCAACCTGGGTGTCGTGACCCCCAAGGGAGCTGTAAATATTTTTTCCGGAGGGGGGGGGGAAATCACTGCAGTTTTGTTCAGCTGCAATTATGTTTATATTTGTTATATTAAATATGGTATACAGCATGCTGTTTTATTTTATTCGTCTTGGCCCACAAACAGAGATCGTTTTAATCTGAACCGGAATGGCAAGCAACTTAGAGTTCTTAATGTATTTCTGTATCCCTTTGGGCAGATTTTCTTTTTTTCTGCATGCGGATCCTTCCCGCCCCTTAGCAGGAGCTACTCTCGCTTGTTTCTCTCTGCTCCTCCGCATCCACCACTGAAGGACCGATGTCAGCCCTTTGGACCCGAGAGATAGCCTGGCTCAAACAGCCCTGAACGAGGCAAGGACATGGTGATACTACGTGCTGAGAACACTGAGGCCCAAGATGGTGGCAGGATTGAAGAGTTGCTGCTTGCTAGGGCAGTGGCACCTTTCGCTCCACCTCAGTCTCCTGCTCTTCTGGGTGCAGTGATGGCGGCGCCGTGAAGGGAGAGGGCACCTGGGCGGGGGAGATGTCTGCCTCTGGGCCCCACCTGAGTCATGGAGGAGGAAAGGGAGAGGGGGGAAAAGGTGAGGGGAGGAGAACCAGAGGGGGTCATGTGTGTGTGTGCAGGAATCCGTGTGGAGGTTTTTAGTTGGGGCTTGAGAGGGAGACGCTTCACTGAGGGGGCTTTTTGAGGGGAGGAGACGTGAAGGCTCGTTTGCAAGCCCCAAAAAGTGCAGTAAATTAAACTCAAAGTATATGGACTTTTTTTCCCCTTCTCAGATTTTATCTGGTAGAGGCAGATTGACAGCCCCTCCATAATTATGCATTGTTACGTTAATATTAATATATTGGGTTAGAAGTTATAGTCTGAAATAAATTCTTCGGTTTCTGTTACTCTGTTAAAAATGCTTTTAAACACAAATATGTGTGGGAGGGGGTGAGCGCTCCAACACTGAAGTCATTGAAGAAAAAGTTCAGAGCCCTATCCATCAGATACACTTTGATTTGGATTCTTGCCTTGGAGGGGGGGGGGTAAGGCTTGGCCTCAATGGCCTTATAGGCACCTTCCATGATTCTATGAATCAGTGTGCGCAGAGTTTTACTTCAAAGACATCTGTCATCCTTGGATCTCTTTTGCACAGTTCTTCAATATATTCTTTCTGTCTTCTCTTTATCTTATCCCAGTCACCTACAGTTAGTTCTTCAATATATTCTTTCTATCTTCTCTTTATCTTATCCCAGTCACTGTAGGTGACTGGGATAAGATAAAGAGACAAAGGATAATACATATATTATCCTTTCTTGTTCATGATTGATTGGCTCTTCCCTTCTTTTCTCTTGGCCTTTTGGCACGCCCCTACTCTTGATTTATTCTCTCTTCCTTGGGTCCTGTTGGATCTTATGAAGAAACCTCTCATTTCTTTCCTCTTTTTTTTGTTGCTGTGGTTCTCTCCTTTGGGATAAGATAAAGAGATAAAGGATAATACATATATTATCCTTTCTTGTTCATGATTGATTGGCTCTTCCCTTCTTTTCTCTTGGCCTTTTGGCACGCCCCTAATCTTGATTTATTCTCTCTTCCTTGGGTCCTGTTGGATCTTATGAAGAAACCTCTCATTTCTTTCCTCTTTTTTTTGTTGCTGTGGTTCTCTCCTCTTTCTCTGATTATGGTAATAGGTTGTTTTTTTGTCCCATATGCATTTCATAGCCCTGTCAAATAATGCCTGAGGGCCTTGGGCTGGCTGTTCTGAGCTTTTAGTTTCATTTCTTGTCACTGGAAGGCTTCCAAACTGTTTGACTCAACCAGTACCTCCTGGAGGGCAGAGTCTTGGGTCATTCGTTATGATCACACAACATCTGACAAACATCCTTCCCCCCCCTCCTTCCCTCTTCAGCCTTGGTCCTGAATTGCAAAACTCCCCTGCAACCTCAGAGCCGGGGAGAACCTCCACCCTGTGCAGAAGCAAGTCAAAGATGCCTTCTAGAACAGGACTACCTCTCTGGCTAATATGGATGGGGCTTTTGATAGCCCCCAGTGAGCAGACTCCAAGGTAAATATGCTGGGAAGAGCTACACACCATGTCCCATGAAAGACTTCTATCTGCAGCTAGCTTATTATTATTATTATTTATTTATATGAATGACACAGAGAAGTTCAACAGGCAAATGATTCTGTCTCACCCCACAAAGCATTACCTGTTGGATTTCAACCTTGTTGATCATCGGTTGCTTAGAAAGGACAGAAGCCACTAACTTTTAAAAAAAGGTGGCGGTCCTCTGTTTCTTTAAAAGTGTTTGCATCCTGTAGGCTGCTGAATAAATTCTGCTTTCTGCATTCAGTTGATTGAATTGTGTTTGGGTTTCCCTAGATAGTTTCCTAAAGGACAATCTACAGCAGGGCTTGGAAAAGCTACATTTTTGGACTACAACCCCCAGAATTCCCTTGGCGTGATAACTGGAGGATTCTGGGAGTTAAAGCCAACTAAGATTTCAAGCTCTGCACCATGAAATAAATCAAAATGTATATATTATCCTTTCTTGTTCATGATTGGCTCTTCCCTTTTTTTTCCTGATTATTTAAAAATAAAGTTCCTTCTCTTTAGTGCCTCATTTTTTTATCTAATAAGGTAATATTTTGTGTAAAACAGTGCAAACAAGGGGAAAAGTTGTGCCATAAATAATACGTGGAGGTTTTCTTAAACGGTTTCTTGGATGTTTAGAGAATGGAGGGGATATTTCTCTTTTTCAAACATTTTTAATGCTCTTCATGTTTAATTTTTGTATAAATACCCCCTGTCAAACAACCTGGGGTGCTGTGTGCTGGAATACTAGGCGTGTTTACTCAGAAGTAGGGTTTATTTGATTTTAGTAGGATTTACTGCAGAATAAAGTTGGCTTGGGTTGTAGAAGCCTAGCTATGTTATTAAAAAGTGAAAACCTATGAGCACTTGCCTGACAGAAAAACCCTATTTTACACAGTGAGATTTACTTCCAAATAATGTGGACAGGAATGTGCTATAATATGATTGTTGGTTTTATTCTTTAGAAAGCTGTAAGTCTCCTAGCATACTCTTTGGATACTCAATATATCACTCTGTTAATTGTGGAGATTTTCCAGAGTTGAAAGTGCTGTAAGGGCAATATTGCCAGGGCAATATATTTAGGATCACAATCGTTCTTGTCATGCCCGCTCAGAATAAGTCCCACCGAGTTCAGTGGGTTTTGCTCCCTGGTAGGTGGATTGGGTCCCAAACTAGGTGTTGATTCGTAAGGTGAAGCTGTGGACAAACACATTGGCGTTCCTGCAGATTACAAGGTGGCGTTTCTGCAGGTATTTCGTACAATCAGCCACCAATATTCCTCCCCCCCCCGTACCCATTAAATTGGATAGTTTTATTTTAAAGTTAGGGGTTTGTGCAACACGGGAAATTCCAAAAACTACTTTTTTTGCTTTTCGGTATTAGGGATGGACATAAGCCAGAACACAAGATCCGGAAACACAGCTTTGTGGAGTGCAGCCAGTGTTAAGATTGCGAAAGAGTGGAAATTCGTGACTCCTTCCCCTTCTGAAATTCTCTTGTTTATTTAGAAAAAAAAGGGCAGAAGAGAAATGAGCCTTATTTCCAGACAAGCAGATTAGGGTTTTAATACTTTTTAGTCAGTACACACACACTTATCTGGCTGTTATTTGGTGCTTCCCCTTCTGGGGGTTCCCCCTAATTTCTTTTTTTTTTTCAGAGCTTGAAAATGCCTGGTTACCAAAAACATAGAAACAAACAAAAACAAGTTAATTTCCTTTGATACTGCAAGGCTAGAAGGGACCCTATAGATCACTAAGTCAAAGAGGCACAAGTGGGGAATTCGAACTCCCAACCTCTGGCTCCACAGCCATAGACCTAAGCCACTGAGCTATCCAGCTTCCTTGTGCACACACATTTAAAAACTGTGTGGAAAAAGATATTTTAGTCACTGTAGATACATGCACAAAAATATATACAGTACCTTAAAGAAATTTCACATTTCACTTCTGAAGGTGTAGACTAGAATGTCCCTTCCAGTTTTGCTAGAAAAAGAAACTCAAGGAGAACCAGATAGTACTTCCTACTCCTAACTAAAATATTGGAAGTTACTAGTTATAAATAATGTAATTAACTTTCAACCTATTAATTTTTAAGTAATGAGTAATGTAACAAGTCATTATAAAATTATAGCAAATATAACACCACTTTCAAAATTCCTTGTGCACACACATTTAAAAACTGTGTGGAAAAAGATATTTTAGTCACTGTAGATACATGCACAAAAATATATACAGTACCTTAAATAAAATACACATTAAAAGATGCTCATATTTATGGGGAGGGGAGGTGTTCTGAGATTATAATAGGCAGGAACGAGAATGCCATTCAGGAACTGAAAAGAAAAAGAACACACGTGATCCTTGTAAACAATCTGAAGACAAGGGTGGGTGATGCCTTTATTGAATTACTAAAATTTCACAGACATAATCAAACAAACTAGATTCAACTCCTTCAGGCGTCTTTATCCATCTCGGAATTACAGAGTTGAGGGTGGTGCAGAAGAAATATAAAAGCTGAAAAAGATATATGGTTAAATGTATGTGCCCGGCCCTTCTCTTTAAAGCAAGTTCCAAATTTAGGGATATGAAGTCAATTCAGAGGTAGGAAATTTCACATTTCACTTCTGAAGGTGTAGACTAGAATGTCCCTTCCAGTTTTGCTAGAAAAAGAAACTCAAGGAGAACCAGATAGTACTTCCTACTCCTAACTAAAATATTGGAAGTTACTAGTTATAAATAATGTAATTAACTTTCAACCTATTAATTTTTAAGTAATGAGTAATGTAACAAGTCATTATAAAATTATAGCAAATATAACACCACTTTCAAAAGGTGGTTTTAAAGGGATTTTGTTGTATCTTACATGATTCCTCCCCCCAGGTTCTGTGCCATGCTCTTGTGAACCAGAAGTGGGAAGTGAATTATTATTTATCTTTTGCATTTTTATAAATATTTGCAAAATACAATATCAGAGTCGACCACTAGGGGGAACCAGAGAGTGTGTCCCTTTAAAACAACCAGGCAATGTGTTAATAAAAAGTGTCAAAGCAATGATATTGACAACCTGGTTTTGAAGTAACAGGTTGGGGAATCTTTGACCCAAGGGCCTAATCCAGCCCAGGGAGTTTTCTTCTCCAGAGTCTAGACCCCTCCACAGATACACACCTTCTCACACCACGGCTCATGTCTTTCTCCATAAGTAAGATGCAATAGAGTTTGTGAAACAAACTTTATATCAAGGGTAAGCAAAATGTGTCTTTCCAAATAATGTTGAACAACAGCAAGAATTAAATGGGAATGGTCTGAGAAATCCCATTTCCCCTAGTCTTTTAAAATCTTGCTTCCAATGCTGCAAGATTTATTTATTTTGCAATTTTACATCCAGACTCCCCCACCCCTCTGGTTTGAGTCTGCATTTGTGTTCTAAGCCAGTGGCCCCCAACCTTGGGGGCCTCCAGATGTTCTTGGACTTCAACTCCCAGAAATCCTGGCCAGCAAAGGTGGTGGTGAAGGCTTCTGGGAGTTGTAGTCCAAGAACATCTGGAGACCCAAGGTTGGGGAGCACTGTTCTAAGCAATCCAAGGGAATTTCCAGAGTGAGAGGATTAGCTGAGAACAACACCTGGAATGGGTTCACAGTCCTTCACAATCTTTGGAGAAGTTCCTTCTGTGTCTAACGATAGGATGTCTGTACTCTCCCCCCCCCTTTTTTTTCCAGGTTGCTGATGATCTCCCCCAGTGTGGTGACAGTGGGAGCAGAGGTGGGGGTTGCGCTTCAGGTCGAGGGAGCGCCCTCTGGCATCTCAGGGACGCTCTATTTCCAGAACGAGAATAATCGCCGTCTGTGCTCTCAGGAGGTCCCGTTCAGTCTCCCATCCGACGGCTCTGTGCAAAAAGTGACTGTCAAGGTAGGTGGGGCTGATGATGAGAATTCGCACATCAGCCCTATGAAGTTGGCCCAGCTGCAGGAAACCCGGTGGCTGTCTGTTTTTGTGTAGCACCGTCACCATCCGTGACTGTAAGAGCCTGTGTACAGTGGACTCTCGACTTACAGACGGCTCGACTTACAGACTTTTCGAGTTACAGACTTCTCTGGCCGCAAAATTTAGATTCGACTTGCAGCCGGAGAATCGACTTACAGACCAGAAAAAAACCAAAATGGAACAAAAATAGAATAAAAACTGCCAGTTATGGGATTAATTGGTTTTCAATGCATTGTATGTCAATGGAGATTCAACCTACAGACTTTTCAACTTGCAGCCACCGTTCCAATACAGATTAATTCCATAAGTAGAGGGTCCACTGTATAGGGAGAACTCAGGCTCATAGATAGACTTATGGAAAAGGATGGATGTGTGTAAAGGAGCTCTTTCAAAGGGAAAGTCTTACATGTAAATACAGTAATATCAAGCTTAGGCTTAGCAAAGAACAACCTCGGTTTCTCCTTAACTATACCTGTACGGGTGTGAAAGATGGGACAGTAAAGCAAGCTGACGTGGGGGGGGATATTAGTTTGAAATGTGGTACTGGAGGTGAGCTTTGTGGATACCTTGGACTGCCAAAAAGATGAACAAGGGAGTCCTAGATCAAATCAAGCCTGAACTCTCTCCGAAGGCAAAAATGTTGAAGCTGAGGCTGTCTACTTGGGACACATCATGAGAAGCCAGGATTCTTCGGATAAGACAATAATGCTGGAAAAAGCGGAAGGCAGCAGGAAAAGAGGAAGACCAAATACGAGATGGACTGACTCGCTAAATGAAGCCACAAGGTTGAGTTTGCAAGAACTGAGCAGAGCTATGAGGACAGGGCACTTTGGAGATCATTTATTCATAAGGTCACCATGAGTTGGAGACAACTTGATGGCACATAACAACAACAACAATTTTGCCCCATTTAGGCCAGGCTGGAAGTGTGTAGGTCAGCCCTATTCTCTCAGGACATCCTCCCAGATGTTGGTGCATTCATTGACAAAATGTCCATAAATGCTGTAAGCGCATTCAACAGAACAAGCTGACACCCTCCTGGCCATGTTGAGAAGGATGTGCTGCCGATCGCAAGAATATTGTTCCACGTGTAGAGTTGAATGTATTTCTAGCACCTATGCATGATGATCACATGAAGAAATGGAGGAGAGTGGCTCTACCAGCGAGGCTTTACAAGGGGTGGGGGCGCAAACCTATGCACATCTGTCTTCACCTGCCTTTGAGCCAGGCATGCTTTCAGCCCAAATGTCTAAATATATTTATTTAGGAGCCAAACGAAATAGTACTTCAATTTCTGTTGACCTTAGTGTTTAATTTATACAGCCTGCACCCACAGGCTGGAGCATTTGAATGTAAATCTGCCAACCTGAGGAAACATTTCATGTGTTCAATGAAAAGAAAAGTGCCCGGGAAAAACTTATGCCATGCTACATTTATGAGTCTTTAAGATGCCATAGGCCTATTGTTATTTATAGGGCTGGGCTGTAGCTCTTGCGCTTTGATCATTAGGGGAAGTGGCCAGACCCCATACTTGTCGAAGGGAGGGCTCTACCTGTTCTTTGGTTTTGCACTGAGCACAGAAAAATGATGAGAGGACAGGAGCTTTTTATGGGTGGCTTCTCCATCTGGCATGTGGTGGCGCTGCGGGTCAAACTACAGAAGCCTCTGTGCTGCAAGGTCAGAAGACCAGCAGTCGTAAGATTGAATCCACGTGACGGAGTGAGCCCCTGTCGCTTCTTCCAGCTCCTGCCAACCTAGCAGTTCGAAAGCATGTAAAAATGTGAGTAGATAAATAGGGACCACCTCCATGGGAAGGTAACAGCGTTCCGTGTCCCTTGCGCTTTGATTGTTAGGGGAAGTGGCCAGACCCCGTACTTTTCGAAGGGAGGGATCTACCTCTCCTTTGGTTTTATACTGAGCCACAGAAAAATGATGAGAGGACAGGAGCTCTTTATGGGTGGCTTCTCCATCTGGGATGTGGTGGCGCTGCAGGTTAAACTGCAGAAGCCCGTGTGCTGCAAGGTCAAAGACCAGCAGGCGTAAGATTGGATCCAGGTAACGGAGTAAGCTCCCGTCACTTGTCCCAGCTCCTGCCAACCTAGCAGTTCGAAAGCATGTAAAAATGTGAGTAGATAAATAGGGACCACCTCCGTGGGAAGGTAACGGCGTTCCGTGTCTAGTCGCGCTGGCTACGTGACCACGGAAACTGTCTTCAGACAAAGGCTGTCCTCAACGATCCTGCTTAGATCTTACAAACTCAACACTGTGCCTTCCTTGAGGGAGTCAATCCATCTTATGTTTGCTTTTCCTCTTTTCCTGCTGCCTTCCACTTTTCCCAGCATTCTTGTCTTTTCCAGAGACTCTTGGCTTCTCATGATGTTCCCAAAGTAGGGACAAACTCAAATGGAACATTTTTGCCGAGAGAGAGAGAGAGAGAGAGAGAGAGAGTGTTCAGGGCAAAAACGTATCAGCTATGTGGGCCTTCTTGCCTCAGTCTGCAGGCCCCTATTGAATCAATACAAATTGTTGGCTAGGCCAGAGGAAAGCCTTCGCTTAGGTCTGTTTACAGTATGTGAAATAATATTCAGATCCTTTCGGTAGAACTAAACCCAATTGCTCTGCAGAATTCAGAGGGGGAAGTTGGAGTGAAAAACATGTGCCTGGTACATGTGAGGCAAAGGAGAACATGACAAAGGGAAATTTGGCTCCAAGTAAACAAGCATTTTCGGTAAACGGCTAATTAGAATTGGCATAATCATCTTTGTTCCAAGTGACCGGGAATCTTCCTCTTTTCATATAAATGCTGACAGAGACATTTATGGAATGGTCATACATCTTCTCAAACATTTTTACTGCCTAATAGGTTTCTAGGTTCAACAGGTTACTTGTACAGTATTATTATTGCTTTACCACTCACTACGTACGATACCGCTTCTACTGGATTTATAGAGAGAGAAATTAGAGGCAGCCTTTTTCTGGTCTGCAAGAGCAAAACAAAATGTACAGAAATCTGCAGGCAGGGCATGATGAAGAGTTCTGGGGAACGTGAAAGCTGACACACTATTACAGAATTATAGTTTCCCCTTATAAAAGTGTTGTTCCACAGTAAATTTTGGATTAAATTTGTGCTTGTTTCTTTATAAGATTTATTAGATAATTTACCAAAGCCTCTCAGAGTTTGGAGGGGTGCTCCTACCTTCCAACCCCAGGGGTTTTTATTTGTTGGCTAATCATCATCATCATCTTAGAATTGCAGAGCTGGAAGGGAATGCTATGGATCATTGAATCCGGTTCCCGTCAAGGAGGCCCAGGGGGGGAATTGAACCCCCCAACCTCTGGCTCTGTATCCAGATGCCTAAACCACTGAGCTATCCGGCAGTTCTTGTTTGTTTTGACCCTGAGTGGGCTATGCCACCCTCTAAATTTGCCCTTTTCAGGCTATAGTGGTGCCTCGCTAGACGGTTACCCCGCATGACAGTTTTTTCGCCAGACATTGACTTTTTGTGATTGCTATAGCGATTCGCAAAACAGTGATTCCTATGGGGGAATTTCGCTAGACAATGTTTGGTCCCTGCTTCGCAAACCAATTTTCGCTAGACAACGATTTTGACAGCTCCTTCCATGCTCACAAAACGGTTGTTTTGGGGACCTAAGCTTCGCAAGACAGCTATTTAAACAGCTGATCAGCGGTTCGCAAAGCGGCTTTCCTATGGCCGATCTTCGCTAGACAACGATGATTGTTCCCCATTGGAACGCATTAAACAGGTTTCAGTGCATTCCAATGGGGAAATGCTTTTCGCTAGACAATGATTTCGCTAAATAGCGATTTCAGTGGAACGGATTATCATCATCTAGCGAGGCACCACTGTATTTCCATTCCCTCCCACAACAGACTAAACTGGCTGGGGCTCCCAAAATGACCTTCTTATAACCCTTAGGACTGAGTTGGCCTTTTGGTGGCAAATTTCAAGAACTGGAGATATCAGGACAGTTTAGCTAAAATGGGCCTCTGTGCTTAATGATAGCTAAAAATAAGAAGAAAAAAGAAGTATCTTTGCCTTATGTTTAAAAGAAAATATGAATACGTTCTACAAAACTGACTGGTTTTTAATAATGTACTTGGAAGGATATTATAATTTCCTCACGAAAGCCTTATATGAATTTAGAAATGACTCTGCCTTGGTAATGAGAAATGGATCATGGGAGGGAAGAAGGGTAAAGACAGATATGAAAGTATATATTTAAAAAATAATTGTAAGTAAAAAAATATGAAAATGTAGGCAGCTGATGAACATCTCAGACAGGATATTTTCCAAAGGGAAGAGCTATCTGAAGCACCCATCCTTCTGCACATGAAGACTCTTGGTTGAAAGGCTTTCTGACGTCAGTCTTTTGGTTCAGAGATGAAATATTTCTAGCAAAGGAAGGTCTGCATGGCAGGTGATGGTGGAGCTTATCTCATTTTACCCAAACCAAATATTTCTGATGTTAGCTAAAGGAGACTCGTGAAGCTGATCTGCAGGTTTCACCACCAAACAAGAATTTGCTCTCAGTTTGACTTCCATGGCGCTGTTCTCAGAACGTGACATCCCCTCTTTTTAAAGGTGGGTTTGGAAAACTTAACGTTTTTGGAACCACACCTCCCGGAGTCTGGCAGCCACTATGTTCAGCAGCTTCTGAGCAATATGGCCTCCAAAATAATAACAACCGTTTTTTCAAGGTGTAAAATTCACTTCGGGAAAGTCAACTGACAAACTGGTTGGGAGTTTGATTCCCCACTCTACCACCTCGTCAGCATCTGGACTCGGCGATCCATAGGGTCCCACCCAGCTGTGCAGTTCTGAGATGACATCTATGCCAAAAATCTCTGTAACAGGACAGAGTTTCTTCTGCTTGATAGGTTAAGCATAGTCCAAGCCATTTTATTCACGTGGAAGGGTTCAACGGTGCCAGCTCTCCTTACCCACAGCTTTTAAACGTGTTAAACCGTAAAACTTATTACAGTGGTGCCTCGCTTAATGAAGATAATCCGTTCCAGGAAAATCACCGTTAAGCGAAAACATCGTAATGCAAAAAAAAACCAATTGAAATGCATTGAAACCCCTTCAATGTGTTCCAATGGGGTCAAAACTCACCATCCAGCGAAGATCCTCCATAGGGCAGCCATTTTCACTGCCTGTCTTGCGAGGAATCCGTCCCAGAAAACAGCGGGGAGCCATTTTGTTTACCC